CTGCTATGAACATTGGGATGCATAGGTTCTTTTGATTTGGTGTTTCGGGATTCTTCAGGTATAATCCCAGCAGTGGAGCAGCTGGGTCAAAAGGCAGTTTCATTTTTAGTTTCCTGAGGAAATTTCATGCTGTTTGCCACATAGGCTGCACCAGTCTGCATTCCCACCAACAGTGCACTAGGGTTCCCTTTTCTTCACAACCTCTCCAGCACTTGTTGTTTGTTGATTTGTTTACGATGGCCATTCTGACCGCTGTGAAGTGGTATCTCATTGTGGTTTTAATTTGCATCTCTTTGATGGCTAGTGATGCTAAGCATCCTTTCATATGTCCTCCTTGGAGAAGTGTCTATTCAGGTCCTTTGCCCTTTTTACAATTGGGTTGTTTATCTTCCCGGAGTGGAGTTGTGTGAGTTCTTTATATATTTTGGAGATCAAACCCTTGTCTGAGATATCATTGGCAAATATATTTTCCCGTACGGTTGTTTTCCTGTTCATTTTGCTGATGTTTTCTTTAGCCATGCAGAAGCTTTTTATTTTGACGAAGTCTCATTTGTTTATTCTTTCCTTTATGTTCCTTGCTCTAGGGGACATATTGGTGAAAATATTGCTGCGTGGAATATCTGAGATTTTCCTGTCTATGTTCTCCTCTAGGACTTTTGTGGTGTCGCAACTTAAATATTTAAGTCTTTTATCCATCTTGAGTTTATTTTTGTGTATGGTGTAAGTTGGTGATGGAGTGTCACTTTTTGCTTGTAGCTGTCCAGATCTCCCAATATCATTTCTTAAAGAGGCTGTTTTTACTCCATTTTATGCTTCTGTCCCCTTTGTCGAATATTAATTGACCATAGAAACTTGGGTTTATTTCTGGGTTCTCTATTCTGTTCCATTGATCTGTGTGGCTGTTCTCATGCCAGTACCAAACTGTTTCTTTTTAAATTTTTTCAAAGATTTTATTTATTTATTTTTAGAGAGAGAGGAAGGGAAGGAGAAAGAGAGGGAGAGAAACAACATTTGGTTACCTCTCGAATGCCCCCCACCGACTGGGGACCCAGCCCACAACCCAGGCATGCACCCTGGCTGGGAATCGAACCAGCAACCCTTTGGTTCGCAGGTTGGCATTCAAGCCACCAAGCCACACCAGCCAGGGCCAGTGCCAGACTATTTTGATTACTGTGGCCTTGTAATATAGTTTGATGTCAGGTATTGTGATCCTTCCTATTTTGTTTTTCTTTCTCAAAATTGCTGCAGCTATTCAGGGTCGTTTATGGTTCCATATAAATTTTTGAAATGTTTGTTCTATATCCAGAGAGCTTTTTAAACTATTTGTGAACACCCTATCTCCTGCCACCACCATCAGATCCCTGTGCTCACTTGGGACTCACTGTACATGAGAGATGCATGTGAGTGTTTTGTGCATTCAAATGATGTGAACCAGCTGGCTCCCACAAGCAGAAGATCAGAAGATCACACAGTGTCCTGTGTTCCATTACTTGTATTGAAGCTCCCACTGCCTACTCCCTAAGTCCAAAATTTCTGAAGCTGAAACTACAACAAAACCTGGCAAGACCCAGTGAAGTAGCAGGAATGAGTCAAGAGAACTAGGGGGAAATAAGTAAAAGGACATTTCTCAGAAACTTGAGACTACTTATGGTATTCCACAAGAGTGTTAAAAAGGAGGTTTTGAGGTTGAGAAGGGAGTTAGTGTAGCAAGGAAAGCTTCTGAACAATTCTGTGATTGTGGACTTCTGCTGCTCCTTTACAGCTGTTGCTTCCATCAGTAATTATAGCTAACCTGAGTTTTCATTGGTAGAGAAACCTGAGATCCATGTCTGTTTTACAGTCAAGGAGACTGAAGCCACACATCTGACTCTTCATTGCAGAGCTGGTTAGAGTCATGGCTCCAAGTTAGTGTTCTGGATTGTGTGACTGGTCAGTTGTAAAACATGCAGGTGAGATTTATTTTACAGAAGAAAAGAAGTTGGACCTTATTTTTTTCCTTTCTAGAAGGTGTTTACTCCTTCCAAGGACAGTGGGACAGATGTACAAAGGGAATTACAAAAGATAATTTATTCTCCCTCTTCATAGTGCCTGGGCCATGTTACTGGTATTCTTAGAAAGATAAGCTGTACAAAATAGGGTATCTTCTTGGTGGGGTGTGATGGGAAGGATGCTGGTGTGCAGTCAGGTAAGAGGTTTTGAAATTGTTTGACCACCCTGGTATGGTGAAAGGTTCACATTATTTGTACCTAAGAAGGCACTTGGGGACTAAGTGCCTTCTGCTGCTTAGTCCCCAAGTGCTTAGTGTGATGAGGAGTGTGAGGGTTTGAGTTTGCGCTCAGCTGTTTACAGGACTCAGAATGTTGTATATACACAATTTATCCATTTATTTATTCAGCAGATGTCAAGTCCCTACTGTGTGTCAGATACTGTTTCATGTGCTGGGGATCTAGCACTTAAACAAAACCAACAAAAGTCCCTGCCATCTTGCCCTTTACATTCTAGCAGAGGGAGACAGACTAAAGAAATAAAATGGATAGAATGTGAGAGTGTGATATGGTTGGAAGGGGCATAGGGAAGCCAGGGAGTGTGGTACTGGCAGTTTCATAAATAGGGGTGAGTCAGGGAAGCCTCAATAGAGGTTACATCTGAGCAGTGACCTAAAGGAGGTAGAAACAAAACCATTGTTCAAGAGGGAGGGCCTGGATGACCAGGGCCCTGGCAGTGATATGGGAGCATGCAGAGTGGGGGACAGAGGAACAGTGTAGTGAAGCACAGAAGTCAGGGGCAGCTGTGGACGATGATGTGGCTTATTCCTGCTACTTCATCAGGGTCTAGTGAGATTTTCTTGTAGTTTGATATTCAGAGATTTGGGACTTGGGAGGCAGGGAGTGGGGTCCAGATAGCCTATGGCAATAACTTGGGCTTTTAACAGATGAAATGGGGCCATTGAAAGGCTTTGAGCAGAGTGACATGATCTGACTTAGGTTTTCTGATTGATTTCTGTCCAAAAATGATTTTCCAAATTGACTTTCCAAAAGGTTGCGCTAATTTATATTTCCATCAATAAAGTAAGGTGAGGGCTATCTTCTTACATCCTCACAGCACAGAGTACTATTAAACTTTTAAATTTTTACTCATTTGATAGGCAAAAAATAATATTTTTATTTTAATTTGCATATTTGATTTTGAACAGGGTTGCCTATATTTTTTGTGTGTGAACTGCCTTTCATATTCTTTGCCCGTTTTTGTTTTGAGTATTTTGTCTTTTTCTTCGTTTTCTAGTGGCCTTTTCTATTTTAAAGAAATGGCAGGTGTTTTGACTTTATGATACTTCACTTTTTTCATTTACAGAAGTTGGAAATACTTATGTAGTACATTTCTCTTTTAAGGTTTCTAGGTTTTAGGTCGCACTTAAAGGCTTTACTTATTCTGCAGTAGATAGATAGATAGATAGATGTCACCATTTCTTCTAGTACTTTGCTAATTTTATTTATTTATTTTTTTTTAAAGATTTTATTTATTTATTTTTAGAGAGGGAAGAGAGGGAGATAGAGAGAGAAACATCAATGTGCGGTTGCTGGAGGTCATGGCCTGCAACCCAGGCATGTACCCTGACTGGGAATCGAACCTGCGACACTTTGGTTTGCAGCTCGCGCTCAATCCACTGAGCTATGCCAGCCAGGGCGCTAATTTTATTTTTTAAAATATTTATTTATTTTTAGAGAGGGGGGAAGGGAGGGAGAGAAACATCAATGTGTAGTTGCCTCTCATGCGCCCCCTTCTGGGGATCTGGCCCACAACCCAGGCATGTGCCCTGACTAGGAAACGAACCAGCAACCCTCTGGTTCACAGGCCGGGACTCAGTCCACTGAGCCACACGAGCCAGGGCATGTTTTTGATATTTAACTTTTTATTCCACTTGAAATTTATTTTGTATGTAGGGTTCCAGTGTTTCTTTTTCCATTTGACTACTAGTTGTCTCAGCCCCACTTTCTTTATCCCCACTGGTTTGAACTACTACCTTGGTCTTATTCCAGGTTCTTATTTGGTTCCTGCACCCGCTTTAAAATTTTTTTAAGGTAATATTATTATTGGTTTATTTTATGGCTAGGAGATTTGGTAAACAAATATTAATTGGGCACCTTCTGTTAATTTCTCTCAGGGTCTTTAGGAAGAATACTGCCCAGAGTTGGGGTATCAGATAATTAAGATCGACTGGAGTGGAGGAGGACTTTAATAAGTGCCACTTCACTGTGCAGGGTATGACTGGTGGGGACAGGGTAGTGGGACAGGTTTCTAATTATAGGGGTTCACAGCTGAGTTGGAGGAGGACACATCCCGCCATCCACAAACAGAGTAGAAGTGTATATGCTTGTGTCCTGTGCTGATGACACAGTGTTAACTCACATGGAACAGACATTCAAAAGTAAATTTGTTAATTGTGTGATATACAGAAAAAATAATATGTGGTGGAAAGGGAGAGAGGTTAGTGTAGGGTAGAAGATCAGGGAGTGGGAGAACAGCCACTTCATTTGTTATATTTATGTTCTATTTTTTTTCCTGAAGCTAATTTAAATAGGCTTCTTATCTTAGTCTGAGGTTCTAGTACACTAAAAAAGGCTTGCTCATCTTGTCTGCCTTTTTGTGTGAAATATTAACCTTGTGAAATTCAAATATGTCTGTGCAATGCAGCCATTCTTTTATGTCCTAATGGATAATTTTAGCCACTACTAGGTAAATAATTAGCTTGGCTAGTACTAAAAAGACTTTATTTTGACTGATTTTGACTAGTAGTGTATATATTAATATGACTGTATGCTGAGGTGGCTCAATGGCAGAACTGGGACCAGAATCTTGGTCTTGTGCTTTAGTTCAGTGGTCTTAGACTAAGCTACTTTGAGTCACGCCATTTTACGGTGGGAACAAAAGACATGGCATAATCTTTGTATAGTGTACATGCATGGGGAGTATTACTAGGGTTTGACTTTAATTCCTTGAAGTTTCCTCTACAGAACAGGCTGGACAATGGCCCAGAACAAACTGTTCAACAAGATCCTCAAAGCACTGCAGTCTGACCGGCTCGCCCGCTTGGCCAATGAAGGGGTAAGACTCCCAAAGCTGCCCACAGTGCACATATGTGTGCCCCCTAACCCTCAGTTGCTGACAAAATGGACCTCGTGTTTTATCATTCCACGTCTGTCTTTCAGGCTTGCAATGAGCCAGTGCTACGTCGCGTTGCTGTGGACAAGTGTGCGAGGAGAGTGCGGCAGGCCCTGGCAAGTGTGAGCTGGGACACCAAGCTGATCCAGTGGCTACACACCACCCTGGTGGAGACCTTGAGTCTGCCCATGCTGGCGGCCTACCTGGATGCTTTGCAGACACTAAAAGGGAAGGTAAAGCTGTGATTGGTGTCTGCCTTGTGATGGGATAGCCAGCCTCTGCTGTGGGTTCAGGAAGTGGGACTTGGCAAGGTCATTGCTTGGTCAGGAGTGCATGACTGAATCTGCCAAGTTTGCTATTAAAATAGGAGACATAGTATCATTTCACATTTTCATCTGGTTTAAATGTCTTCAGCCTCTGGCTCCAGGATGGGGTGTGGGCTTGAAAACCAGAGTATACATGTAACTTCTGCAGCCCTGCAGCTTGTGGTTTGAGTCATTTCTAAGGTGAGCTGAGAAAGGAATTGAATTATCAGGGAGAAGATGAAAGGTTTACCAGGCCTCAGTGTTGAGAAGTGGCCAGAAGCAGATCTGTGAGCTCAGAGTTCAGGGGTGAGGGATGGGGAGGTATGCATTTGTGCCTCAGTCTCTCCTCATCTTGTAGTGAGCCTTCAATAGCAACACTTTGACTTTAATAATTCTGTAAAAAATGTATCTACATTTTTCTGCTTCCTCACTGAGACAGTTTTGTACAAAGTTAATCTGCTTTTTGGTTTTTTTTACATTATATTTTACTGTTCATGCTATTATAGTTGTCCCAGTTTTTCTCCCTTTGTCCCCTTCTACCCAAGACCAGCCCAGTCTCTTAGGCAATCCCCACACCGTTGTCCAAGTCCTTGGATCATGCATATAAGTTCTTTGGCTACTCTATTCCCTATGTTGTACTTTAATCACCATGACTATTCGGTAACTACCAATTTGTACTTCTTAATCCCTTCACCTTTTTGCATGTCTCCCCAACCCCCATCTAGTCTGGCAACCATCAATACATTCTCTGTAGCTATGATTGTGTTTCTGTTCCACTTGTTTGTTTTGTTTTTTAGGTAGAATTTTTTATATGTATTTATTGCCATTTTAGTGTTCATAGTTTTGATCTTCTTAAAGAAGACCCATTAACATTTCATATAATATTGGTTTGGAGATGATGAACTCCTTTAGCTTTTTCTTGTCTGAGAAGCTCTTTATCTTCTCTTCAATTCTAAATGGCAGCTTTGCTAAGCAGAGCAATCTTGACTGTAGGTCCCTGCTTTTCATCACTTTGAATATTTCTTGCCAATCACTTGTGGTCTGCAAAGTTTCTTTTGAGAAATCACTTGATATTCTTATGGGAGCTCTCTTGTAGGTAACTAACTGCTTTTCTCTGGCTATTTTTAAGATTCTCTCTTTGTCTTTAACCTTTGGCATTTTAATGATGATGTGCCTTGGTGTGGGCCTCTTTGGGTTCATCTTGTTTGGGACTTGGTGCATATTAGACTTACATGTCTATTTCCTTCACCAAGTTAGGGAAGTTTTCTATCATTTTTTCAAATAAGTTTCCACTTTCTTGCTCCATCTCTTCTCCTTCCAGCATGCCCATGATGTGAATGTTGATACTTTTGAAGTTGTCCCAGAGGCTCCTTACATTATTATCCTCATGTTTTTGGATTCTTTTTTCTTTTTGCTATTCGGATTGGTTGTTTTTGCTTCCTTATATTCCAAATTGCTAATTTGATTCTCAGCTTCATCAACTCTACTGTTAATTCCCTATAAATTGTTCTTTATTTCAGTTAGTGTATCTTTCATTTCTGATGGTATTTTTTTTATGCTATTGAGGTCCTTACTAGGTTCCTTGAGCAACCTTATAACCAGTGTTTTGAATTCTGCATCTAGTAGATTGCTTGTCTCCATTTTGTTTAGTTCTGGAGTTTTGTTCTGTTCTTTCATATGGACCATGTTTCTTTGTCTCCTCATTTTGGCAGCCTCCCTGTATTTGTCTCTATGTATTAGGTAGAACTGCCACATCTCCCAGGCTTGGTAGCATGGCCTAATGTAGTAGGTGTCCTGTAGAGCCCAGTGGCACAGCCTCCTCTATTACCCAAGCTGGACACTCAAATTGTACCTACCATGTGCTTGGTGTATACCCTCCTGTTGTAGTTGAGCCTGGATTGCTATTGGCACATTCAAGGTCAGCCACCACCTGTGCTCTCTCTGGTGTTACACAGCATAAACTACAAACCTATCTGCGGATGACTATTACTTATGCTGGATTTGGAGGTGCCCAGACAAAGCCAAGCTGTGAACCAAGGCTGGCAGCTGCTGGTGCTGGGTCTGGGGCAGCTTATTGAGAGGTACAGGGCTCACTAAAGCCAGATGCTGCTTGTTTGAGAGAATTTAGGAAACTCTAAAGCGTGGGTCAAGGTAAGCCATTCATTCATATGGAAAAGCTACTGGAAACAGCTTGGGTGAGCCTGGAAGCTGGGTGGCAGGGCCTCAGGGAATCATTGGGGTGGAGCAAACAATGTGAGCCAGATTGATGGAATCTTAGATATGGCATCAGCCTGCCAGCTCTTTGGTTCTGTAGGGGAGGGCTCACCAAAGGAACAATGGCTTCTGTTACCACTTCTGTCTGGGAGAAAGCTACCTCTCAGCTCTTGCCCTGATGCTGCACAGTTCAGTTTCTCCCAGTATGCCTCTGATGCCTTTCAATGTGCTGTCCCAACGCCGGACCTCAGAGGGAGTCTAAGTAAACCTGTGTGTCGGCCCTCTGAGAGGAACTGCTTGAGAGTCCAGCAGTTTCTGTCTTCCAAAGCCTCAATCCTCACTAGTTTTTTAAAGCCAGAAGTTATGGGGACTTTTCTTCTGGCACTGGAACCCTATGCTGGGGAGCCTAGTATGCTGCTGAGATCCCTTACTCCTGAGATCTCCCTCCTGATTTTTATCTGCCATTACATGGGTGGAACCAGCCCCTACCACATCTCCAGTCTCAGTGTGGTTTCTTTTTTAATTTTGTAGTGGTAGGACTTCTGCTCAGCTCGATTTCTGATGGTTCTGAATGATGGTTGTTCTATAGTTTAGTTATAATTTTGATGTGGTTGTGTGGGAAGGCAAGCTGTGTTTACCTACACCACCATCTTGACTGGGAATCTCCCCCTACACTGTTTCCCCCCACCATGGTTCCAGTTTATTTTAATTTATTTGAATTCAGTTACTGCCCTGGGCTGTGTTCAGTGTGGTACAGTAGAGCCCTGGGGGCATACTGCCTGGCTCGTCTCATCGTGATCACTAATGAGCTGTGTCATCTCAGATAAGTATGTCATTTTTCTCATCTGTAATACATAGCTAGTAATAATACCTATGTAGGATTTTTGTGAAAATTAAATTAGTTAATCCAGATAGAATGCTTGGCACAAAATTTGGCCAGGTAAACCCACAGTGACTGTTAACAATTATATAAGTTCATAGGTTCTTGAAATTTTTAGAGGGTTTTGCTCTAATACAAACATCCTTAGACAATTTGGATTAATTCAGTTCTTGACTTTATTTTTTCCTTAAGTTTTTCTTTCTTCTTTGTGGGAAGATGGCCTATTTTTTTGCTACAATTAGCCTGGCCAACAGCTTCCCCCAGCCATACCCCCAAACTTTCAGACTCATTGTTTCCTACCTGTTTTTCAGTTGAAGGATGCTGAGTTTGTTTGAAAGCAAAACAGACTGGTTTAATGCAAAAATAAAATTTAAGATTAGATGTAGTAATGATATTCATGGTAGGAAATTTGATATTAATTTATTTATTCAACAAATAATTTATTTTGTACCTATAATGTACCAGGTACTGGGCGAACAAAACACAATGCCTCCAGATAAAACCTATTTTCTCAGATAGAACCTATTTTCTAGTGGAGAAAGAGACCAATGGAAAGATAGCCCCAGACTACCCCTTTGTTGCTGCTGTGCAGCAGAATCCTGAGCCCAGGAGGTGCGTGGTGGGTGGTATGGGGTGAATATAGACTCAGAAAAGAGTGGCAGCCTGAGAGTATTTTAAATGTTGTCTGCAGCACTCTACCCATGGTAAAAGTATAACACTGGTGCATGTGCTCTGTAGCTGAGTGCTGGCGGTGCCCAGAGGCCCACTTCTCTGATGACTCTGCCTTATTCTACGTGGCTAGCGTGACTGCAGGGTAATTCCTTAAAAGGAAGTTTGCATTGCTTCCTTATTTACCAAGTCACTGTCTGGAAATTCCCAATTGAATGGGGTAGTGTCCAGGTTTTGTGAGTGTGACAGACTTTTGGGGAAGACTCCACAGGCGTGCACAGTTGCTGCTGCCAGGTCATAGTACAGGTTAGTGGGAATGGCTGAGGACATGGTAGTGCATCAGCCCTCAAGGGCCCCAGACTGAGCTGCTGTCCAATCCAGGTTGTGCTCTCAGCAGGGGTTTCACCAGACTCTTATAATATTTTCCCATAACTGCCAGAGTCACAAGAAATACTTTGGTTGTTCCCCAGACTTTCACATTACCTGCTGAATGAAAATGTAGGTGGATGATATACTCTTGGCCCAGCTACTTTCACCATTAGATCCCTTATGAAAGCAGCAGAGAAGGTATAGACCCAGCCTCTGAATTATCTGTTGAGAGAGATGCAGTGCTGGAATGACTGGGGAGCTTGGCCAGCCAGCTTCCATCAGAGAAGTTGGTCATTAATTAGTCACTTCTAAGCATTCTATTTTGACAGAAAATGAATTTCAAGGCTTCGTTGTTTCAAGGGTGTATTTTACTGCCAAGTTAAAGCTTTTAAAGTCTAATGAGATCAGATCCTCTGCCCCAAGGTGTTAAGTGGTTTAGAGTTATAAGTTACAAAGAAATGGCCAGTCTGGGGCGAAGATCCTTTTCAGTTTAGCCCTAGCCTTTGTTATTAGCCTTGTATCCTCCTCCTTCGACATCTGTGCCTAAAATAAGCCTTTCACATTCTTTTTTGTTGTTCCTGTTAACTGTTTTTTTATTATTTTTAAAAATTATAGTTGACTTACAATGTCATATTAGTTTCAGGTATACAATATAGTAATTAGACATTTATATACTTTTTGAAGTGATCACCCTGAGAAGTGTAGTACTACCCATCTGACACCATACATAGTCATTAATGATATTATTGACTATATTTCCTATGCTGTACTTTATGTCCTGGTACTGTTTTTGTAACTGTCAGTGTGTACTTTTTGATCTCTTCCCCTTTTTTACCTATCCCCAATCCTTCCATCTGAGAACCATCAGTTTGTTCTCTGTATCTATGAGTTTGTTTCCGGTTTGTTTGTTCATTCTTTGTGTTTTTTAGATTCCACGTATAAGTGAAATCATATGGTTTTTATCTTTTCCTGACTGACTTTTTTCACTTACCGCAATACCTTCTAGGTCCATCCATGTTTTGCAAATGGCAAGATATCATTCTTTCTATGGCTGAGTAATATTCCATTGTATATACGCACAACTTCTTGTTTATCAGTAGACACTTCGCTTGCTTCCATATCTTGGCTATTTTAAATAATGCTGCAGTGAACATGGGGTGGGGTGTATATATCTTTTTGAGTTTGTGTTTTGGATTTCTTTGGATAAATTCCCAGGAGTGGAATTGCTGGATCATGTAATAGTTCTGTTTAATTTTTTGAGGAACTTGCATACTTTTTTCCACATCCTCAAGATCATTATTAACATTTTGACATACTAACATTTTTCCTGAGTAGAAACAATTTTTACATTTTCTGCTTTATCTTTAACATTTTGGCAAAATTATTTCCTTATGTTATTACAAATTTTTAAAAACATTTAAAACTAATCCTTAATATTGAATTATGTAGATCATTTGCTTAACTATTCTCTTATATATGTGTCTAAGTTGTTTCTGCTTTTTGATTGTTACTGAGAGTGAATTGTCTTTTGTTTAACCCCAATTCCGTGTGCATATGTGTGCGCACGCATGAGTGCTGCACACACGTGCATAACTGATAAAATTTTTAGGAAAGGTTCTTAAGGGATAGGAATACATTTAAGTTTTTTGGTACACATCACCAGGTGTCTTTCCAAAGGATTGTACCTATTTACCTTTAATGGTGGGAGGTGTACTTTTTAGCCATCTACTTTGTATTTTTGTTCCTGAGTGAAGTTCAAGAGGCATAGTTGAAGTCTGCCTGGCTCATAGTGAGGCTCTGTGGCCCACCTGATTGCTACTTGTGGGCAGGTCTCCTGCCTCACACTGGAAGCACCTTTGTTCTTCCTTCTAGATCCCTACCTTGATTGACCGGATGCTTGTGTCATCCAACACGAAGACAGGGGCTGCAGGAGCTGAGGCCTTGTCCCTCCTCCTGAAGAGGCCCTGGGACCCTGCTGTGGGAGTGCTTTCTCATAACAAACCGGTAAGTTGGGTGGCTCAGAACTTAGCTGTGGCCCATTAAATTTTTAGAATCTGGTCTTAGAACTTTGGCAAGAGGATAGTAAGTAGCTGGTTTAACTTTTTAAATTGATAATTGGTTGTATATAGTGCCTAACATAGTTTCACAGGCAAGTCAGCATTGCTTGAGATAAAAAGGTATGGGGACACTTCGGATTTTATAGAGAAACACATTTTACTCCCTGGTTCTTTGGTGGCATTCTTTTTCCACAGAGCAAGCTCCCTGGCTCTCCTCTCATTCTCATCGCCTCCTCTGGGCCCTCGAACTCTGCATTTCCCACCTCTCGCCGCCACCGCTTCTGGCAATCTCAGCTCTCCTGCTTAGGCAAGGTATGTACGGGGATAAGAGGAATTCTGTCATGGGTAGGAATATAGACAGAATGCAGCAGGGGGTCAAAGTGAATGAACTTAAATGTGGAGCTTCCCCAGCTCTATTTTCATTTTGAATTCAAATAGTGCTTATCCAATGTGTTGGAATCTAGGGTAGGTTATGCAGATGTGAGAGAAAACTTGAAACTTATCTGTGCTGGCATGGCTGCCACTTCCTTCCTTTAGGTCATCCCTATAGCTACCCATCTGCTAAACAATGGAAGTGGGGTAGGAGTTCTGCAGTGTCTTGAGCATATGATTGGGGCAGTGAGAAGCAAAGTGCTAGAGGTGAGACTGCCCTTACTTGAGTTCACTGGGGTATACCCAGCCTTCTGGGCTCTTTCTGTACCCATCTTTAGCCTCCTGTCTAACTGTCGTCTTTCTCTTTCCACAAAGATTCATAGCCATTTCCCCCACAAACCCATTATCTTGATTGGCTGGAATACAGGAGCTCTTGTGGCTTGTCATGTAAGTAACAACCCACCTTACTTGGAGGTTATCCTGGGATAGGACATTGCTGCTGCTGCTAATAGCCTCAGTGTGGTCCTCTTTTATGTTTCAAGCACAGTGTTAGATGCTGGACTTACATAATTATATTTTATACTGTAAAATACAAACTTTATTTTTAAAATTCATTGTGGGAAATTTTAAATAGAAACTTAAAGGATCCTCACTCAGCTTTACCAGTGATCAACTCACAGCTAGGCTTTCTTTCATGTTATCCCTGCCCATTTTCTCTCTTTGCTGATATTTTGAAGAAAATCCCAAATATCATATCACTTCATTCATGTTTATTTCAGCATGTATCTATGAAAAATATTCCTTTCTTTCCCTCCAAGCATAAATACTTTCTCCCACCTAAAGCAAAACAAAAAAATTCTTGTAGGCAAAATTTTTTTAAAGTTCTTTTTAAAGATTTTATTTATTTTTAGAGAGGAGGGAAGGGAGAGAGAAAAAAAGGGAGAGAAAAGAGAAACATCATTGTGTGGTTGCCTTTTGAGCTCCCCCTAATGGGGAACCTGGCCTGCAACCCAGGCATGTGCCCTGACTGGGGATTGAACCGATGACCCTTTGGTTTGTAGGCTGGCACCACTTTCTTTGGTCAGTAGACCAACCACTGAGCCACACCAGCCAGGGCAGCAAAAATTTTAATAACTCTGGAATTTGCTGTTGTGTTCATGTTTTATCCCTTTCCAGGACATCAAGGAATCTTTTTATCATTTTACATACTGTTTGTGTGAATATTAGTTTGCATAAGTGTCCCTGACCTGTCCAGAGCCCCCATTTTCAAGTGGATCAAATAAGTAAAGTCTGTGCCTCCTCCTGTGGTCTAGTCAAATATGACATCTCAGACCATGAGAGGAAAAGATTATCTCATTGCCCTGGTTCCAGGACAGTGAATTCTCTTAAGAAATTTGGGGTGTCTGGGAGCTACCTAGTAAGTTCAGGATGGGGAGATTTTCTTCACTTATGGGAGAAGAAGAGCATTTGTGTTATCCTGATATTTGCTGTAAGTGGGGTGGGGTGGGGAGTGAGCAGGAGACCTCTAATCTAGGGAATTGACAGGATGAAAATATTAAATCTCCCATTCTGTGGTTCAGCCTCTGCTAGGGTCCTCTCAGGGTTCTAGTTTTCCAGGTGGTAGCTGCTTGTGGAAGGCACATCTGTGTTCTGCACTCTTACTGCTGCCACCATGGCTAGGATTCCTGCGGGGTGGATGGGGCTGGCTGGTAGATCTGGGCCAGCCGTGGGTTCTGGGTAGGAGGGCAGTTGATGTTGAGACAAACCATTCCATTTTTTCTAGGTGTCGGTGATGGAATATGTCACTGCAGTTGTCTGCCTTGGGTTCCCTCTGTTTACTGTGGATGGCCCCAGAGGAGTAAGTATGGGATGCCACTGATTGCTGAGCAGGGGAGAGTAGGGAGTGCATGCCTCACCCAAGTTGGTGTGCAATGACTGTGGGGGCCCAGCCAACCTCCTGAGCGGACTGGCCAGGGCACAGTGCTCAGTGAATATGAACTAGCTGATTGTAAACCCTATACCTGTTTTAGGATGTGGATGATCCCCTCTTGGATATGAAGACTCCAGTCCTCTTTGTTATTGGTCAGAATTCCCTGCAATGTCACCCTGAAACCATGGAGGACTTTCGGGAGAAGATTCGGGCTGAAAACAGTTTGGTGGTGGTTGGGGGAGCTGATGATAATCTCAGGTGGGTAGGCCTATTCCTGTGTGATGGGGAGGCAGCTAGCTATAGGCTGCTCTGGTTCAGACAAAATCTGAAAAGGGGCATTAAAAACATATTTTTTACTTTTAACTAATTCAGATTTATAGAGTGTTGCAAAAATACTACAAAAAATTCCCATATTCCCTTCACCTGGATTTCCCAAATATTAACATTTTAAATAATCAACATATAATTATCAAAGTCAGGAAATTAACATTGATATGATCCTATTATCTAATCTACAGACTCAGATTTCATCAGTGTCTCTGGTTCAGGATCCAGTCCAGGATCACATGTTGCTATTGGTGCTGTGCCTTCTCTATCTTACTTAATTTGATACTGCTCAGTCCATCACTGTCTTTCATCACTTTGACACTTTTGAAGACTTTTGGCCGGTTATTTTGTCGACTGTCCCTCAATTTAGGTTGTTGACATTTTTTTATGATTAGGTTGAAGATATGTATTTTGACATTAATGAATGCCACAGAGGTGAGGTGCTGTCAGTGCACCCCCTCAGAGGATACACGATGTTGACCTGTCTTGTCACTGGTGATGTTGACCTTGATCACAGGTTATGGTGGCATCTACCAGGTTTTTCCACCATAAAGTTACTATTTTCCCTTTGTAATTAGTAGTTATCTTGTGGGGAGGAGACATTTTGAGACCCTGTAAATACAGTGTCTGTCATTATGGTTTCACTGGGGTAGGCATTTCTTTAGATTTTGTTCCTTACAAATAGATGAATATGAATACATCTTATTTGTATTAAACACCTTGTATATATTTTGGAGTATAAACAGCCAGAGTTTGAGAAGGTTTTATAAAGGCAGCATTACTTATTGAGACAGCCTCTCCTCTGTTATAAGACTGGTTACCTGTAGGGCCTTTAGTTACATTTCTGTGAAATGTATTGAAAAAGAGGTTGTGTTATTTATGGGGCCTCCTTTTTTATATGTTCATTTTTAGAGATTCATTTGTGTGCTTATTTAACTAGACAGCTTAGAGTGGGTGTTTGCTGACATCTGCCTTATTGTTTTCTTATCCAGAGACGTTTGAGAGAATTCCTTCTAGTCTTGGTTATTCGACAACTTCTTGGGGTTTGGGCCTGTGTTGGGGGACTTGTGAAATCTTCAGCCTCTGAAGCCATAGGTATAGGACTTTTGGAATGTGCAGTTCCAGCACTTCCCATATGTTCTTTTGTGTGATCATCCAGCTCTACAAATGAGGCATTATGGTTCCCTATTTTGCAGATGTGGAAACTAAGGTTCAGAGAGGTTGTAATACCTGCCTGAGGGCTAACATAGTCTTCCTTCCCGGGCCTAGCAAGTAACCTGCAGAAGAGAAATTCACTCTTATCTCCATTTGATGCCATGGAATACTTAGAAGATTTCCTCCTTTTTGTCTTTTAGAATAAGCAAAGCAAAGAAGAAATCAGAAGGATTGACTCAGAGCATGGTGGACAGGTGCATTCAGGTACACAGTTGTTTTGTGTGTTTTTGCTCAGCTAGGCTTCCTTTCTGCAGCCTTTTAGGCTTAGGCTTATCAGCAGTAGCCTCTTTGTCTCTAAAGGGTGAGGAGTTATACTCTGGGGCCTCTGGTTGGTAACCCTTTATCATAAGCAAAGAAAAAGAGAAAAGAAAGGGAGAAAAGAGGGAAAGGAGAGTAATCAACTAAGATGTAGAAAGCTTTGGGGTGAATGGGTTCACTGGGGGAATGGTGGCACACGACCACCCCAGGGTGCCACCTCACAGAGGTTCCTACTGGTTACTGGTGCAAGGTTTTGTGCACATTGGGAGGGCCTGGCACCTCTGACACCAGAGCCAAGGTACTCAGTCTTAGTTGGAACGGTTGGCAAGATCCCTATTCTCCAGCCAAGGACTCAGGCATGGGCCTCTCTTTACACCAGGATGAGATTGTGGACTTTCTAACTGGCGTGCTAACTCGTGCTGAGGGGCATGTGGGCGCTGAGCCTCGGGACCAGGATGCTGAGAAGAAGAAGAAGCCTCGGGATGTGACCCGCAGAGACCTGGCCTTTGAGGTTCCTGAGAGGGGCAGTCGACCCGCCTCACCAGCTGCCAGGCTGCCTGCCTCCCCTTCAGGCTCTGAGGTAATGTGGGCAGGGAAGGGGCACTTTTGCTGGGGAATGAGGATCATAGAGCTGGTGTCTTGGCTTCTTGAGGACTCCTTTATGTTGGGCCAGTGCTGTAGGCCTTTGAGTTCCCACAGGGAGAGAATTCCTGACCAGGGAATTCTAGGGGACATGCTGATTGGTGGTCAAATCCAGACAACATTGGCCCAGCTCCTGTTCTCCTCACCCTGCTCAGGATCTGTCCAGTGTGTCCAGCAGCCCTACATCCAGTCCTAAGACCAAAGTGACCACTGTAGCCTCTGTCCAGAAGTCCAGTCAGACCGGGAGCTCTCAGCTGCTGAAGAGACATGTGCAGCGGACAGAGGCTGTGCTAACCCACAAACAAGCTCAAGGTACAAGTGCCTGGCTCAGTGGTCTCTCTCGGGATTCGTCCTCTGCAGTTGACATCATGTGGCAGTTGGAAAGTACTGGCATTTACAGGGGCCATGTGAGAGGCACCTTTCCCACACTTCTGTCCAGGCAAAATTAGCTTGAGATGAATACCAAGGGCTGTTTTCAGAGTAGAACATCACATGATGTCTATGTGTAGGGGGCTGTAGCATCCCACTTGTTACCGCTTTGTCTTGGTGTTCTGGGCATTTAGGCTCTCTAAGCTGACTATATGTATACTGGCCTCAAATATTTTTCTAACTCACAACTGGGGAAGCTACAGCTTCTGTTTCAGGCCTGCCTAGCCACTCCTGTAGTCAGGGAGCTCTCCAGGTCACGTGGGTGGGGTGACTGGCGTATTCATCCGATTCTAGGGCAACTTAACGAGCATCATGCCTCTTTGTTTTGCTCTTAAGAGTTAAAATTTCCACACTGGGACTTTTGGCGAGATTTATTGTGGTCTCTGCAGATAGCTTTTAGATTAGGCTGGGAAATACATTGGTATGATTGAAATTGAAGTTTGGAGGTCAGTGATTGCTACATAAGAAGCTCCAGCAAAGGGAAAATTTGGTGGGTAGGGAGAGGAGAAACATCTCTCCCTCCAACTTTGATTCAGTTGGGCAGCCCCAAGACAAGGTCTCCTGGGCACGGACATTTGATGATATGTCCAGGAGCATGTATCCTGAGGTCCAGGGAGAGGCAGCAGCCAGAGCTGGCTGTCAAGTAGAAAAGGGTGGAGGTGACAGGAGGCTGACCTGTTTATTTCCTCTGGGTTTCTTTTAGTGGAGCCAAAGGGTAAAAGTGGAAAGGTGAAGGCAAAAAAGAGGCCAGGCCCTCAAGGTCCATGTGGATGCCTTGTGACTTAGGCTTTCTTAAGTGGTGGCCAGAGCCAAGTTCTGCGTGGGAGGTGTCCCCTTAGGCTTTTAATGAAGAAAGAGCCATCTGTGTGCAGTGCCTCTAGAGGAGATAATTACTTGAGAATCTAAGGAGACCTGGAAGGCTGATTGGTGAGTTGGTTTGAAAAGGGATCCAGAGAATCATGGAGCAGCAGCCAAAGCCCCTGGCTTTGCCCGAGCTCATAGGCAAAGGGGACAATGATAGCTAACATTTATGGAGCCCTTACTACCTGCTAGGGTCTCTTTCTGGTGCTTGACTTGCTGTGGCTAAGTGAATCTTGGTAGTGGCCCCATGAGGCAGGTGCATCTCTATTTTGAATTTATAGATGATTCCGTGGGGCTGCTGAAAGCAAAGTCAATTCAGTAATTCCAGAAATAGCCCCTGTTGACCATTTTCTAGAACATTTTCATATCTCTTTCTTACTCCCTTTGTCTCCTTTCTCTGGCTGGCTATGATTCTATAATTCTTTCTGATTCATTCCAGCACAGTTCGCTGCTTTTCTGAAACAGAATATGCTGGTGAGGAAAGCTCTTCCTCCCGGCACCTCCTCCTGTCTCTTTGGTGAGTATTGCTCTCTTCTGCTTCCCCACCGCGGCCTCGCATTTGTCCTTGTTTGGTTCCTCCTGTTCTTTTGTCTCTGCCTTTTTCTATCTTTTGATTCTTTTTGTTTTTCTGACTCCTTTTGCTTATTCCATTGTCTTTGCTTTTTCTCTGTTCTTTCTGTTTGCCTCTCATGGTGTTTTTCTCTCTTTGCCTCTCCATGTGTGCCTGTGGCCATTGCCTGTGCGCCTGAGTTTCCTTGGTGTTTTTCTCCTTGACTCTGGTTTCCCCCCTCCATCCTGGCCACTGCAGCCACTTACCAGCATAAGACTGTTAACTCCTTTCTCTTTTATTACCTCTTTCTAATTCTGATTGTAGTCGATGCCTCTATGCCCTAAGCAATTCTTCCAACTAATTATGCCCTCAGTGTGGTCTAGAGTAGCTCCCTGTAGCCCATGCCAACTGCCCCTACTCTCATGTGACTGCTGCCTTCCGCCCACCCCACCCCTGATTGCTTATGCTAACAAGAAGGACTGGGGCCTAGGAGTTTCTGGGTGTAAAGAGAAGGAGATTTATGAGGAAGCCTGAGTGATAACAAGGCTTGGCCTTTTACAGGATGAGTCTGTTTAATTCAGCAGAGGGTAAAGCCTATGTGTGAACAGGCAGCCTTTCTCTGCACTTAGTACAAGAGCCCTGGGGACTAGGTTGTGACATGTGCCACTGTTGCCCTGTTACTTTGGGGCAGGAGCTGTAAAGGCACCTTGGCTGAAGCATCCCTTGCCTAGGAGCTCCTAAAGCTAGCCTGAAGTCCTGGTGGCGTTCCTTCTCATTGCACCTGTGTGGCAAGCAGACCCTCAACCCTGGGCTCCTAGGGCAAGGGAGACTCAGAGCCCTGTGAAAATCTCCTATGTAGGGAAAACTGTGCAGCCTGCTCCTCCATTGCTTTTTGCTAGAATGTTTCCTCCCTCCAGCTATGTCATGTGGGGGAGGGCTTGAACAGGAAAATGATCACATCATTTGAGTCAGGGAAGCACTGTTGAGATCCACTATGGTGAGGCCTCTGTTTTGGTTGGCCTATGCTAGACTGGGTTTGGGTGTCTTGGTTTTTTTGTTCCTACAACTCAGAACCCCCTTCTTCCTGACTCCAGCATAGAATGAGGGATGAGTTTGGTGCCATTCTCTGAGAGGGAAGAAGTGGAGTTCTACCACAGGTGGGGCTGAACAAGGTGGCACTGACCTAGTGACTATCATCTTTGAAGTGTGACTCCATGCGTGGCTGGTATTCTTGTGTGTCCCCATACATAGCCATACTTATACTGGTCCCAAGTCTCACTGTCTGTTGAGACTGTGGAGGACCTTACCCCAGCTCTATCTCTTAGTTCCCATTTCATCAGAACAAACAGAGGAAGCAGAGAAAGAAGATGTTAGGGTCCAGCTGAAGCGGCACCATCCCTCCAGTCCTCTGTCTGGCAGTAAGACCTCCAAGCGACCCAAGATCAAGGTGTCCCTTATCTCCCAAGGGGACCCAGCCAGTGGGTCTTGTACTCCTTCCCAAGGAGGAGCCCCAGAAGGTGAGTTTCCTTGGCCTGTTTTAATAAACACTGACTGAGCTCTCCCAGGGCATATAGCATTGCCCTCTTGAAGCTGCTTGCTGGGGGCTCCGCCTTTCCTTTAGTGCAAGAGGTGCCTGGATCAGAGGGCTCAAGGTGGCCTGTGGGTGGGGAAGGTGGGCAATGACCTGATCTGATTCAGGATCAGGAAGGCAGGATGGAAATCAGAGGAAGCTCTGGGGTCATTCAGTGCATCATATATTTGGGGTTTTATTGTTCGTTTCAATTAAAGATAAAATATTCCAGAAAGCTTAGAAAGTAGAAGGAAAACAATAACTCTAGCTCTTCTTATTCTCATGTAGTTATTCTTCATTTTTCCTCTTTGATCTTTGTCCGTACTACTTTGCGTTTAGCCTGGCTGTGGGGTCTGAAAGGGACACCCAGCAGGACTAACGGGAAGCCTTGGGGTTTTGTTTTGCAGCCATGGGAGGGAAGCCCATCACGATGACACTGGGGCAGTCGTCAGCAGGGACAAAGGAGCTCACAGGGCTTCTCACCACAACCAAGTGAGTCCATTTCTTGGTCTGGCTGTTTTCCCTTCTCTCTCTTCGCCTCTTTTCCTGGTTCACTTTAATGCTTTGGGAAGATGATAGAATCTGGATTCTGTCAGTTTGGGGAATGTGACTTCTTTTTGGGTCGGACCTTTATTTTTCTTTTGGACAAACTCAGAGTTCAGTTCATTTTTACCTAAAGTTTGCAAAGCATCCCATAGCTCTTGCTTCAAGGTTTGAAGTTTTTACTTCTAGGCATGACTTCTAGAAGGACTAGAGGCTGGATTCAGAAGGTGGGGTAAAAAAACCAAAGGTTCTGGCCTTACATCCATTGCTGAAACCTTGCTGGGCCCTGCTCTGGACCCTCCCTATGTTGCCAGGGTCTGCTGCCCTCCAGCCTTCAGATAATGGAGCCCTGTCTTTGTGTCTAGGTCCAGTGCTTCTGAAGGGGGTGTGTCAGCCAGCCCAGCCTCTGCCGTGGTCTCCAGCAGCAACGCACCCAGTCCCTTGCACACGCTCCAGAGCCGCCTAGTGGCCACCTCCCCTAGCAGCTCCCTCCCAGGTATCTGGGGGCCAGCATCCTGGCCCCTCAGCAGAATCTGGGAAGCTGCTGTTGGGTGGTCATGGGAAAGCAGCCTGGAGCTGTATTTGGAACTCCTTGGGGTCTTGGGCTTATCAGGGAAGCTGGAGTTAGCTTCAAGGAGCATGAAGTTCTTGGCCTTAATATGTCCAGTGAGTAAACAACCCAGTCTGTGGGTAGTGTATCATGTACTCTAAGGACGAGAAATCACTGATGGGAGATATGAGTATAGTGTTTCATTTTGGTGTTTATAAACACATCTGATTGAATAAAACCGGAAATGTGCTATACTGGACGTTAGTAAGCGAGACATTTCTGCCTATGCATGTCTCCTCACCTTCTCCACCCACACCTGACACTGGAAAGGCTAGTTGCCTGAGCCCAGCAGAGCCAAGGCACATGCCCTTCTTCAAGAGGACCTTTCTCTTTGCTTTGAGGCCCCTGGGCTACGTGCAAAGTGAGGTGTACATCAGGTACTTGGAATTCTCTTGGCTTAAAAAGTTCTTCCTCTTCCCTGAAAAGAAGTGAGGGAATTTAGAGTTCTGAAAAGGGGGATTGAAGCTCTTTTTGGTTTTCCTAAAGTTTTAAGAATGTAGGGTGGGTGGTTTGCAGCAGGTTGGGATGTGTAGAAAGACTGAAGGCTGTGGGTCTGCGTAGACCCGTCCATATGTAGGTGATCAGCAGGTGTGCTGGGAAGAAGCCCTGGCTGGCCTCCGCGAGGAGCGCTGGGAATGTCCAAAGGCAAGAGCACAGGCATTTACCTGGTTGTTGAGGTTGGATGGGCATGACTGCTCTTGGATAAGTGGTTGAGTTTGTGCTGATGTCTGTCACATCACCTCCTAGGGGCCACGTCAGCCAGCAGCCTCCTCCAAGGCCTCAGCTTCAGCTTGCAGGATATCAGCAGCAAGACCTCTGGTCTCCCGGCAAATCCCTCCCCAGGACCATCCCCACAGGTACATATCTGCCCTCTTCTGGGCCAGGCAGGTGTGGGGAAGAGACCTCTTCAGCTTGGTTGGTTTTGGTAGGGAATCTGGAATCTGAGTCAAGGACAGACAGCCTCTGACTTCCCAGAGGGGAGCTACCAAAGGTTAAGGCTCCATCACTTAACTGCTGTGTGACACTGGACAAGTTTCTTGACTTCTCTGTATCTTTATTTCTTTGTCTATGAAATGAGGATAATAGTCCCTCCCTCACAGAGTTGTTTTGAGGACACTGTAAGATAATATGTAGAAAGTGCCTGGAAGAATACCTTGCATGTGGTGGGCACTCGATACATGGCAGCTCTTAATAACATGCTGTGGGCCCTCCACACTTGAATGTGGCTGTTGGGCAACACCTTCTGATTACCTGGGCTTGTGTGTCCCACAGGCCACCAGTGTGAAGTTGCCCACCCCCATACAGAGCCTGGGTGCCATCACCACGGGCACCAGCACCATTGTCCGTACCATTCCTGTGGCCACCACACTCTCCTCCTTGGGTGCCACTCCTGGTGGGAAGCCCACAGCCATCCACCAGCTGCTGACCAATGGGGGCCTCGCCAAGCTGGCAAGCAGCCTCCCTGGCCTGGCCCAGATCTCTAACCAAGCATCAGGTGAGTCTTTCTTGAGAGCCATGAGGACTCCCAGATACAGGATCTTCCCCCAGAACTTTCCCATCTCACACAGGAAGACTCTGGACCCAACTAGGGTCTTGGCATTGACCTTCAGTAATTCAGCTTGTGGGGGGTCCATCCCCTAGAGAGTTTGAAAGAACATGGGCTGTTTCCTTTTGGCCTTTCAGAATGACTGATAGGGCGTAGATGACCCAGCTGGGGAGGAGGCCAAGGAGCGGGGCGGAGGGAGGTGTGTTAGGTGGGGAAGAAACTCCCAAGAAAGGAAAGTGGAGATGTGACAAAAAAACCTCTGTCCCATGCTCTTTCTCTCTCTCAGGCTTGAAGGTCCCCACCACCATTACTCTGACCCTACGTGGGCAACCAAGCCGAATCACCACACTGAGCCCCATGGGCCCAGGAGCAGCTCACTCGGAGGAGTCCACCTCCCAGGTGCTGCCCTCCAACTCACAGGTGAGTCTGCTGGGGAAGATAAGGACACAGGCTCCAGCATTGGGAAGTTTTGGTGCACTGGGTTTGTAGGCATAACATTCAAATCCAGACTCAGGGTTTGTAGTTTGGGATCTGTTAGCAAGTCATGGACCTCTTTGAGCTTCTTTTTCTGTCACACTCCCTGGGCTATTGTGAGGATTAATTAGGTAAAATGTTCCTATGTGTCGCAGTGCCTAGTGTTTGATGTGTTGTTTACTTTCCCTCTCCATCCCTTTTCCTCCCCCCTTTGCGGCATCACCATGCAGAGGTCGTGGCAGAGGCTCTCCAGCATTGAGCCCTTCCACATCTTGGCACTCAGTGCCATCTTTTTGGAGCACAACTAGGTTTTTGATAGCTCTTACTCAGGAGTCACCTTTAGTTCCTCTCAGCTGATCTGATTTCCTTTATGATTTTTTGAAGTGAAATGTTTCTAATCTTACATGGTGATCTGAGAGCCATGCAGAGATCAGAGATTAAAGGAAACAGTCGTTTGTGTCCAGTATGGAGTGTGCTTTCCTTCAGTACCCACTGTTTCAGCCAAGGCCTTCCATGCAGGAAAGGTGCTGTGCTGGTCACTATGGCGCAAAGCTGGCCCTGGTGCTGGCATTCCCACTGCCAACTTTACCTGGGAATGGGGGGCTGGACATGATTGACAGAGGATAGTTCCTGGCTGGCCCAGAAGCTCCTCTGTACAGGGGTTGTTTCTTGGCACTCATGGGGGTCATAGCCCCACCCCTTGCCATTTTGCAGAGAGGTGGAGGTGTTCTCATTTTTTAAATTTTGTTCATTATTTTTTCAATTACAAAAGTGATTGTGCTTATTTTCAGTAATATAAACATTACAGAAATAATGTAATTTAGTACAAATTTCCCATGAGACCACTCCCAGAGATGATAAGTACTGATAATGGCTTGCCAGTGCATCCTTCTAGATTTTTCTTATTTTTTGACAAAAATGGGATCACAAAATATGGATTTTTGTAACTAGCCTTTGTTTAGAAAATATGTTGTGGATGTTTCTCTGTTGGTTACAAAGAGACCTACCTATGTCTTGTTGGTGACTACCTGACAAGGGACAGTGTGAGAAAGTGGGTTTTCCCTGCCTCCTGATGGATAGTGAGTTAGGTTACATTTTGTTTTCTGATATCATAAATAATGGCGCAGTGGACACCCTTGTCATGATTTTTGTTTACCTCTGGGAGATTCCTGCAGGCTGGAGACCAGTAGGTAAAGGGTATATGAATCTGCCACCTGGAAGCTGCTGACTAATTGTCCTTCAAAATGTTTTGCTGATTTACTGTTCAAGCCACAGTGATGAGAACATCTGTTTGTACCATTGCCAATTGTGAAAATCAGTATTTTTAATTTTATTGATTTGATGGGTGAAAAGTGAACTTGTTTTAATGTGCATTTTCCTGATTATTTATGAGGTTGTATATCTTTTATGAATTGCCTGTTATGTTCTGCACCTGTTTATTTTAAAGCAGCTTTATATATAGTCAAGTCACATATACTTTATTCCAGTTGCCTTTTTTTCCTTTCCATCAAAGTATTAAATGTATGTCTTTTAACTTTTGTTTCTGTATCCTTTTCATACAGACATTAAAATATTTTATACAGTGTAATCATCAAATCTTTTTCTGTATGCCCTTCCCACTGCAAGAGTATAATCATTTTGCATTTTCTTTTTTATATTTTATTTTTTAAATTGTGGTAAAATATACATATGTACAATTTACCATTTTTACCCTTTCATGCTTACAATTCAGTGTAATACAGCATACTCACATTGTTACACAGCCATCACCACCACCTACGTGTAGAACTTTCCCTTCATCCTGTATTGAAACTGTGCTTTGTGAAGTGCTTTTGTTTGTTCATATACCTCTTGCTTTTCAGTCTACTTGGAATTTATTTTTATGTGCTAAGTGAAATGAGGATCTAACTGTCAAATCCATTCATTCTTCCTTCATTTGCCATCGCTGCTCTCACATTCTAGATTACTATGCACATAGTCAAGTGTTTCAGAGGAAAAGCACTCTTCTGATTTGCTTTTATTTCACTTAGGATTTTGGTTTTTATGTTAATGAGTGAGATTGGCCTGTGGTTTTCGTTCAGTCACCCCTACTTTTGTGTGGGTGTGTGCTTTCCTTGTCCAGTTGTATAACTCTATCCCTATAGAACGAGATGGGAAGTATTTTATGTTTTCCTCATATTCTGAAACATTTATATAGCACGGAATGACCAGTTCCTTGACAGTTTGATGGAAATGACCTGTAAGCCATAGCAGCCTATTTTCAGGCTGTTGTGACCTTGCTGATGTGCACTGATGCACAACTAGAACCAGGTCCCCACCACATGGCACCCTGCTCTGTGTTCAGTGGTCCTTTGGGTCTGCTGTGGCCTGGGCGAGCTGGTTAGTGCTGGGAAGAGATTAGAGGACGTCGAGAATCCTTCCTAGCTCAGTGGAAGCACAAAATAAAGATAGTATCTGACTTCTACCTGAGGGAATTAACTTGAGAGCTTGGTTTTTATCCTAGTAAAATAGGTGTGTAATTACTAGGAGGGTTCTAGTGGTGGTTCTTTTCTTACAGACAGAGGAGGTATTATTAGATTAAGACTTGCTGACTTGAAACCTAACAGTTACCTTACTGTGTTCAGACTGCCAGACAGTATGATACCATGGAAAGCACTGGGCTATGGTCAGGCCCTCTGTTTTCAGCAAGCTGTGTCATTTCAGGCAAATCACCCAGCCTCTCTGGGCTTTGGTTTTCTCACCTAGTTTTGTGAGTTGGCAGTTTTTGTGGTGGTGGGATTAGTAGGAGCTGTCTCAGAACCTCTGCAGGCTTTGGGAGATGAATTTTCAACTTTAAGTTGAGAAACAAACCTCCCGTTTATAACATTTGTAAAACATTTGGAAATTTGAACACTAACTGGATAATTGTTGATATTAAGGAATTATTAACCTTCTTACATGTGATAATGGTATTTAAAAGTTTGAAAAAATAATTCCTTTCTATTTTTGGGTTACATATTACAATATTTATGGATAGAATGAATTTAAAAATAAAAATATCTGTGAATACCAACTAAGATATCTCTTGAGGTCTGTGCAAGCACTTAATTAACCTGTTTTCTTTCTGGCATTGATGGGTATTTGCTGTGTGTTTCCTTTATGGAGCTGAACTATCATGTCCTCTTTACAGTGGAAAAGCTGAGGAGGAAGTGGGGGCAGAGACTGCTTTGCCTGTGTCAGGGTCCTGAGAACGGATCCTTGCCTTTGGTCACCTATAGCAGCCCCTGGGGAGTAGGCTCATTGTCAGGTGTAATCCTAACCAGGACAAAGTAAGCACCTGTGCACAGCCTGCCTTTGGGTGGGGTGAGCACATGGGAGGAGCACCTTTGAGTTTTGATTGCCAGACCCTCTTCATTCCTCCTCTCCTGGGCCCCCCATCCTCCTCTCTTTACTGCATTCTCACAGACCTCAGGAGTTTTCCAAAGGTGAAATCTAGAAGTGGGGGAACCTTGGTGAGAAAAGGCTAGCTCTCTCAACCTTGCTTCCTTCTTCCTGAGCTGCAGGGCTCAGCAATTCAGGGCACCCTCCACAACCCCTAAAAAATGGGTAGACCTAAAGAATGACATCATTAAGACAAGTATGGAAAACCTCCCTTCAACAGTGTCACCCTTAACGTTCACCTGGTTCCTTCTCCTACATTTCCCCTTTCCTCATGCATAATAAGAGCTCACCTTTGTAGTTAAACAGATGCTATCATCTTACAGATGAGGAAAAGGAAGCTCAGAAGCCACTGGCCCTAGAAAATGGTAGAGGTGGGTCTCTGAGTATAGCATCCACATTCTGGAAACCACTTGGCTGCTGGAACACACATCCTTGCGCACCCAGCTTTTTCCCTATTGAGAATTACTTTGGTATAAATCTCAGGAGTGGGAGGAGGGGCCAGAGGATCTGGATGTGTTAACCTGGCAAAGTTCTGACCCTTGTTCACTACCTCTCCCGCCATAGCGCCTGCCTCCAGCGCCCTGAAGATGCCATGTGATGGTCTTCCTTTACCAGATTGGTGATGGCTGCTGCAGTGAGCCCTGGGTACATATGCTGTCCTACTAAGCTGTCCACTTGTCTGAAGACATCTTTAAGACACTCATTTTTGTCTCCCTGCCAACCGTCTTTGGGGTTGGGCCTCTGGTCTTATGAAACTGTTAGGCTAAGTGATATGGTGCCAGCAAGGGGAGCATCTTCCTCCAGTATCTACAGGTCTGGTTCCCAGAATTCCCAGGCTCCTCAGAAGATTTGGCGGTTAATGGGTTACTAGCACTAGCTATTACTTGCCCAGGTAGCAGTGTTGGACCATTCATTGCATTTCATAAAGGACCTCCTTTTGGACCTGTGTGGTGCCCCTATGCCAAGTTTGGAGAAAACATCCACATGATCCAGGCCTGCTGGGGTTCAGATTGAGAGCCCTTTGCTGAGGACCGAGGTCATCCTGGCCTACCAGTCAGCTGGTCAGTATGAAAAGGGCTTGTTTTGGACATTGCCGCTGCCTTCATCGAGTAGCATGAGAGAGTGCTCCTCATGCAGCTTCCTCTTCGGAACCACATCAGAGTAGCCTGCTGAGACCAAGAATTCCTGATTTCAAATCCATGAGAGAGAAAAGAGAACTAACCAAGCTGTCATCTCTCGGTCCCATTGGCCATGCACATGTGAAGAGCAGCAGTTGCTAGGAGATGAGCACTGGAACCACCCCTTTTTTTTTTCCATCATGGTTGGCAGAAAACCTGCTGGTCCAGGAAGGTTAAAGAAGAGCAATGGAACAACAAATGAAGTAGCTTCGAGGATGTATCAGTAAGTCCTGCAGTGAAAATGGTTTGGGTTTGAGGCTTTGCGTCTAGTACCTAAGGAATTGCTCTTCCACTGGTGAAGAGAAGAATTTGCAAGGTCAGAGGGATGCAACTCTCACCCCTAAAATCTCTCCCTCCAGTGCTTAAAGGTATAACAGGGAAAACCAGCTAAGTTAACATCTGGGCCGTTCCAGGAACTTGAAGCATCAAGATGATGAAGGTCATGCTTCATTGTTTCTCCTTCTCTCCTATATGACTTGTCTGCTTGCTTCAAAGTGGGAAAATCATTGGTACCAACACTACTGCACAGGGCTCTTGGTGCCACCCTGAGCCTGGGAGGTGGAGGTTCCTGAAGAAGTGATCACTGACGCTGGAGCTTGGAGTTCCTCTTTCCCTCCTCACAATACTTGTGTGCAAAGGTAGTTTTAGGTTTGGCTTAGAACCTGTTATCCACAGCAGCCTCCCTTCTCTTCCATACTCTAGAATGTTTCCAACTGTGGTGATAAGTCAGGCAACCCAGTGGACTCAGTTCAGTACCTCTAGGCCAGGAGGGTCCATAGCATGCCATGGCCACAACTGTGGTCCAGGGTCCTGACCCTTGTGCAGTGTATATCCAAACCAGGCCACCTGCATTCAGTTCAGGAGCCTCACCTTCCAGTCTGAGTAGCAGCTAGGAGGGGTGCCCAGTGTGCAGGAGTCTCAGACGAGACAGATCTGGGGATATGTATGGCAAGAGTGGAGATGACGTCTTACACATACCCTTCCCCCCTGACTGCTACAGAGCTGGTTTCAGTGGTGATGATACAGAATTACGCTTTATTCTTTTTTTCCCCCAGATTTATATTTTATTATTTTATTTAACCTTTATTGTATTTTTTTTCTATTACCATTTAGTCCCCTTACACTCCCCACCCCTCTACACTGTATTCTTACATTAGCTGGTGGGTAAACTGCTTTCTGAAATTCAGGAGGCAGTTAGTAAGTTTGAAGAAGATATGAAATCTAAAAGAGGTATCAGTGGGTCAGGGGATCGATAACTTTATGGGTAGAATAATATAACAACAGGACCTGAGGAAGGGTGGACTGTGAGACTATGTGAAGCTTTTAGAATCATTTGGGACAGGCAGAGGGCCCTAAACAGCCATTCCTAACTTGGGAATGCAGCCTAGACAGTGCTGGCAGGGCTGCTCCCGAAAGATGCTGGCTCAGTGTGTGCTGGAGCCAGAGGAACAACTAACACATCTTCCTGCTTTCATGTAAATCCTAGTGTACTTCCCACGGATGACTTCCTGAAGCTTGAGTTGTATACCCTGAAGAATGCCACACTGGAGAAGGAGAGTTGTGAGAACATGGATTCCTCACTTCGGAGGGACAGGCTAAAGGGGGATGTCATTGAAGTCCATAGAATCATGTTGCCCAATTACACGTGTCTCCTCCAACCACACTGTTTGAAATGTAAAAGGAAGCTTTCCTCTGTCACATAGCAGACCTGGAGTCTGGAACCTCAGACGGGGATACTACTGGCCAAAATGTTGAGGGATAAAGAAGGCTTTAGTTAAATTCTTGGACGACAAATACGTGTTGATGGATTTGTCCTTCTGGGAGATGTCCTCATGCCTTGGGAAGATGGAGGAAGACCTGTCCGTTCTTGGCCCCACCACAAGAACAGTCCTGGGCTGGATGGGTTAGAGACTGAGCCACTGTGACGGTTGTGTTTTTACGTAACAAAAACAATTGAAAAATAAAAGCAACTTTTGCATCACTCCAATTTATTTTCAGCTGACTTCTCGTGTTTTTTTCTGGTAACCACCCAGTGAAGTGGCTCAAAAAATAAAAGCTGAGATACTGTGGTAATTCCTATGCTCATCTCTGATGCTGGTGCCATGAGGTAGGTACTGTAATTCCCTTTTCATAGGTGAAAGGACTGAGGTATAGAGATATCACACCATAAGAAATGGCAGAAACAGGATTAGAACCCAGGCAGCCTGATACTAGCGTCTGTTGTTTTACTCTGCACTTGCTGAGGTTCTGCGGTGGGAGACCAGAAGTGGAGACTAACCCAGGAGGTGAGAAGATGGTTGCTTGGCCTTCATGTGACCCTTTTCAGTTTGTGCCCCACCCAGCCTACCATGATTCCTGCTGCTATGGTGGGACTCGCCTGAGTCAGTAAGTGAGGTCCTGAGAAATTGAAATCCCATTATATATCCTACATCTTCACCCCCTATGATAAATAAAGAGGTGAGTGAATGAATTCGAAACTCCAGATTATTTGTGAACTATTCAAGAGGACCTTTCCTCCAATCCTTAACTTCCAGGCCCCCATCCTTCATACTGGAACCCTATGTGGGTAGAAACCATAGTTGTGATAGACAGCTTGAGTACAAGTGGGCTCATTTATCACCATCTGTAGTGGAGACTTGACCTTCTCTTTCTCTCCCTTCCAACTCTACTCTCACTGACTTGGGAGTCAGATGAAGTGAGAAATTAGAATTAGGTGGTTCAGATGATAGCTGTCTTAAACTTCAGGAGTATCCAGGGCCATGGCAAATTATAATGCAGAAAAATCTTTGGTACCTTATTAGCTCCCTTTTTAAAGCATATGTTAGGATTGGTGGTTGCAGGAAGCAGAAACCATTCAGCACCCAAATTACTGTATTTTGCCATCTTTAATGTGCACTTTACCCACACTTTTTAGGGAAAAATAAGGGTGCACATTATACATGAGTAGTACCTGAAATACCTTGTATCTGTTCTTGTGTTTTGTAGTCATTCACTACATGAAATTTCTTGTACCATAATATGTTCAGAAATAAATGCTAAAATTCCTTTATAATACCAAAAAGTGCCTAAATATAAATGATTAAAAAATTAAAACAAAAGATATTTTTCCTGAAAGTTTGGGGCCAAAGTGTGGGTGCACATCTTACACAGGAACACATTATACACGACAAAATACAGTAATTCATAAAGGGAATCCTCTCCCCGTAGGTGCTCTCACAGACAGGACCTGACAGTTTCTGCTACTTGCCTCCTGACCTCAACTGACTAGGAACCAGCTTTGGTCCTGTTACAGGACTTTTAAGCTTCAGTTTTTTTTGTGGGTGGCAGGTCTCTCTATCTTCCAGTTCAGATTTTGCACCCAGTGACCCTGATTGCCTCAGCGCACTTACATTTGGTTCTTGCTGATTCTTTTCCGTCAAGTTGTTCTTGACGGTTGTTCTTGGAGAGTAGTGTTGAAATTTCTGACACTAATTATGGGATTGTCTGTGTTTCCTATTAGTTTTGTCAACTTTTGTGTCACATATTTTGCAGTTCTGTCATCTGGTGCATAGACATTTAGGATCCCTGTGTCTCTTTTTGGTGGGTTGTCATTATGTAATGTCTCTCTTTACCTGCTAATTTTCTTGGCCCCGAAATTTACTTCATCTGACATTCTGATGTCAATCTCTGCCATTTAATTGGTGTGTTTAGACTGTCTCCACTCAATGTAATTACACAGGGTAGAGCAAAGATAGGTTTACAGTTGTGAGTACACAAAACACTTTGTTCTTGCATTATTTAATAATTACTGTATTATTATTCTATACGAACAACTGAACAACCTACTTTTGCCTCACCCTATAGATGTATTAGGGTTTAAGTCAGCTGTTTTAGTTTTTGTTTTCTGTTTGTCTTTGTGCTGCTTTTTCCTGCCTTCAGGGGGTTGCTTGAACCTTTTTTTTTTTTTTTTTTTTAGAATGCCGTTTTGATTTATCTGTAGTATTTTTAAGTGTGCCTTTGTACAGATAGCTTTTACTGGTTGCTGTGGATGTTGCATTACGAATACACAAAACTTACTGTAGCCTGCTGGTACCAACTAGTTGAAGTGTAGAAGCCAAGTCTCTCTTTATATTCCTTTATCTTCCCCCATTTCTAATATAATTGTCTATGTGTTGAGGAACATGTTAGACAGTGTTATCAGTTTTGTTTCAAATGTTAATTTAGAAAGCTCAAGAGAAGGAAAATCTATTGTGTTTACCCATGTTTTTATTTTTATTTTATTTTTTTTAAATTTTATTTATTTTTAAAGAAGGAAGGGGGGGGAGAGAGAGAGAGAGAGAGAGAGAGAGGGAGAGGGAGAGAGAGGGAGAGAGAGAGAGAGAGAGAGAGAGAGAGGGAGAGAGGGAGAAACATCAATGTGCGGTTGCTGGAAGCTGTGGCCTGCAACCCAGGCATGTGCCCTGACTGGGAATTGAACCTGCGACACTTTGGTTCGCAGTCCACGCTCAATCCACTGAGCCACGCCAGCCAGGGCTTATTTTTAATATGTTTTATTGATTATGCTATTGCAGTTGTCCCATTTTTCCCCCTTTACTCCCCTCTGCCCTGCACCCCCTCCCCCCTCCCTCCCTCTCCCCTCTCCCACCCTTAGTTCATGACCATGGGTTGTACATATAAGTTCTTTGGCTTCTCCATTTCCAGTACTATTCTTAACCTCCCCTTGTCTATTTTGTACCTACCATTTATGTTTCTTATTCCCTGTACCTTTTTCCCCATTCTCGTCCTTCCCCCACTCCCTCCCTGCTGATAACCCTCCATGTGATTTCCAGTTTTGTGATTCTATTCCTATTCTAGTTGTTTGCTTAGTTTATTTTTGTTTTTGGTTGTTTAGGTTCTGTTGATAGTAGTGGCTTTGTGACTTTGTTGTCATTTTACTGTTCATAGTTTTTTAAGATCTTATTTATTTATTTTTAGAGAGAGGGGAAGGGAGAGAGAAAGAGAGGGAGAGAAGCATCAATGTGTGGTTGCCTCCCCCTCCTGGGAACCTGGCTGGTAACCCAGGCATGTGCCCTGACTGGGAATCGAACAAGTGACCCTTTGGTTTGCAGACTGATGCTCAATCCACTGAGCCACACCAGCCAGGGCAATGGTTCATAGTTTTGATGTTCTTCTTTTTCTTAAATAGGTCCCTTTAACATTTCATATAATAAGGGCTTGGTGATGATTAACTTCTTTAATCTGACCTTCTCTGGGAAGCACTTTATTGGCCCTTCTAAATGATAGCTTTGCTGGATAGAGTAATCTCGGATGTAGGTCCTTGCCTTTCATGACTTGGAATACTTCTTTCCAGCCCCTTCCTGCCTGTAAGGTTTCTTTTGAGAAATCAGCTGGCAATCTGATGGGAACTCCTTTGTAGCTAACAGTCTCCTTGTTGCTTTTAAGATTCTCTCCTTATCTTTACTCTTACATCATGTAGTTATAATTTGTCTTGGTGTGTGCTTCCTTTGGTCCAATTTCTTTGGGACTCTCTGGGCTTCCTGAACTTCCTGGAAGTCAATTTCATTTGCCAGATTGGAGAAGCTCTCCTTCATTATCTGTTCAAATAAGTTTTCAATTTCAAATAAGACTTTTCAATGTCTTGCTCTTTGGCTTCTCCTTCTGGCACCCCTATGATTCAGATGTTGGAATGTTTAAAGTTGTCCTGAAGATTCCTACGCCTCTCCTCATATTTTTGAATTCTTGTGTGTTCATTCTGTTCTGGTTGACTGTTTTTTTTTTTTCCTTCTGCTCCAAACCATTGATTTGAGTTCCGGCTTCCTTCCCTTCACTGCTGGATCCCTGTATATTTTTCTTTATTTCACTTTTCGTAGCCTTCACGTTTTCCTTTATTTTGTGACCATACTTAACCATTTCAGTGAGCATCCTGATTACTAGTGTTTTGAACTCTGCATCTGATAGGTTGGCTATCTCTTCATCGCTTAGTTATTTTTCTGGAGTTTTGATCTGTTCTTCCACTTGGGCCATATTGTTTCCCTGGGCACATCTATTATGTTGTAAGGGGTGGAGCCTTAGGTATTCACCAGGGCAGGGCAACCCACATCACTGGGTTGTAGTGATATATGTGGGGGAAGGGTCAGAGAGGGAACAATGCCATTTGTTGGACTTTGGTCCAGCTTTCAGTCATTTCCCCTGCTACCTACAAGCAAATTGGGCCCTTCTGGTGATGATTCCCCAGGTGGGTTGGTTTGTGTGTGTTCTAGGACCCTGTGGTTCTCTCCAACAAATTGTCCTTTGAGGCTGGGAGTTTCTCCCACCGCCACAACCCCCATAGGTTTTTACAACCAGAGACTTTTGAGGCTTTCTTTCCCTGTGCTGGAACCCTAGGTTCCATGGTTTCTCTCACTCTCCAGCTGCCCTTTCTGGTTTACCCACACGCAAATGTGGGACCACCAGTCATCACCTTGCCAAGAGTACTCTCTGACCCGGCTGTCCATCTGAGCCCCTCCTACCAGTGTGGATGAATGTTTTTTATTTAACTCCTTCATTGTCAGACTTCCATACAGTTCGATTTTCTGGCAGTTCTGGTTGTTTTTAAATTTGTTGTTGTCCTTTTGGTTCAAGGATGCAAAATATATCTACTTATGCCTCCATCTTAGCCAGAAGTCTGTTCTTTATAACTTCTGACACCTTCATTTGTCTCAAGTGTGTTCATAATTGCTCACTGAAACATTTTTTATCATAACTGCTTTAAAATCCTCATTAGACAATTCTGATATCTATGACATTGCAGTGTTGATGATCTGTTGATTTTTTTTTTTCATCCAAGCTCAGATTTTGATGGTGTTTTTTTTTTTAATCCTCACCTGAGGATATGTTTATTGATTTTTTTTATGTTTTAGAGAGAGAGGAAGTGGGTTGGGGGGAACATCGATGTGAAAGAGAAATATTGATCGGTTACCTCCTGTACATGCCCTGACTAGGGAAGGGCATGCCCACAACCCCTTGGTGCGTG